TACAGAACCAAATTATTTAATTAATTAGCTGCGCGTTCTCCTGTCCTCCGGGCCACACACACACACACACACACACACACACACACACACACACACACACACACACACACACACACACACACACACACACACACACACACACACACACACACACACACACACACACACACACACACACACACACACACAGTACTGTCTCAGCTGTTATTTTCGTTAAGGAGTGTGCACGTACAGCATACGCGCCTCTTGCACGAGCCTACTATTGAAGCTGCCGTTACGCTTTTGGCCTGAGGGGGCAATCGCGAGCATAAAAATTCAAAACTCCATAACGTCCCTTTAAATAAATTCGTCCAAATATTGACAAATCTCGTTGTAACCAGGAGTTGAGTTTAAATTTACAAACTTCAAGTTTGGAGTCTATGTTTAATAACTGGTTGTGGGTATAGTCTTTAGAGAGATAAATACTTCATTTTGGATTTTATAGGGATATTGTGACTTTCCACTAATGTGGTTTCATGTATAGAGAACAACTCGCACTTGTTTAGGTTTAACCTCAGACCTGATGCATTAGAGAATTTCCCAACTTCCTCAATTGTTATAGCTATTTGATCTTTGTCTTTTAAAAAAACTGTAATGTCATCAGCAAGTTGACTAATATTAAATTTGTTCCAAAGACATTTGGTTTTTTGATGGAATTACAATTTTTCAAGAAAATGGCTAACATTTCAGTTGCAGTAATGAATAATAGGGGTGAAATAGGACACCTTTGAGGGATTCCAACCTTAACATCAAAGTTGGGTGTAGAGCCTTTAGGTAGCATCACACAACTAATATCATTGTATAAACCTGAGATTAAATTTCTAAAAATTTGCCCAAAATTCAAATGTTGGAGTGCTGAAAGAATGAAACAATGTTCGACCAAATCAAATGCTTTGTAAAAATTTAGAAAAAGAATAAACCCATTATCTTGAATCAGGTGGCCATATTCAATTATGTCCATCACTAATCTTATATTATTATGAATTAATCTTCCCTTCATAAAGCCAGACTGAGTTTGTGATATTACATCTGAAATTCCTACCTGCAACTGAGCCGTGAAAATGTAAGTTAGATGCTTGTAGTCAGAATTTCTAAGAGTTATGGGTCGGCAATTGTCAATATGTCTAGGGTCTTTCCCTGGTTTTGGAATTAACACTAACTCCATGTCTCATGGTTGGTGGGAGTAAACAAGAGTCAAAAATTTCTTGGAATACTTGTAGCAATAGATTCTTAATTTCAATCCAAAAATATTTATAAAAATCGCCTGTGAAACCATCCGATCCAGGAGCTTTATTTGGAGACAGGCGCTTGACCTCAGCATCAAGTTCATTCATAGTAATTTGGTTTTCACAACTTTGCTTCAATGTGTCATTAATTTTCGGAATGTGTGAGGATATATTCTCTAGGAAAGTTTCACAATTATCCCCGGAAATTTTTGGTGTATACACATTTTTATAGAATGTATATATGTTGTTAGAGATTTGGGTTTCATCTGTAATTTCTATATTAGCAACAATAAGGGAATTAATGCTATTTTTACCTTGGCGTCTTTTTTCCAAATTACAGAAGTAAGAAGAATTTTTTTCCCTTCCTCTATCCATTTAGCTCTAGATCTCACAAAAGCACCATGAGCTTTTTGGGCAAACATGTCATCCAATTGGGTTTGTAAATTGGACATTTTATGTCTTTCATCGTCATTTATACCAAGTTTATTGCATAGATGATTTAGTGAAGTAGCAATTTCCCATTCACGTTTTTCTCGTTCCTTTTTAACCTTTTTACTAAATGTGATGGAGAATTGATGAATTTTATATTTTAAAAATTCCCATTTTTAACAGCAGTAGTTAACTCATTATAATCTGAAATTTACTTTATTAGAGTTTTAATTTTATTGTTATATTTCATCATTTTTGATAAGACTCGAATTCCCAAAAACTATGCTTACCGTGGAAAATAGAATCTGGTTTTATTTCCAAAGTAATGATGCAGTGGTCAGTCAGTGGTGCAGCAGAAATCTCAGAATGGATAAAGTTGTTCATAAGGGGACTTGTAACTAACCAATGATCAATTCTAGACTTTGAGCTATATCTAGAACCAAACCAGGACAACTGTATTTTGTCAGGGTTTAAATGTCTCCATACGTCCACAAAATTATGTTCATTGCAAAACTGTTCAAAAGTAGTATTTGGGTGATTAGATTGATATTTGAGGGGAATTTTTCTAGAAAATCATCATGCACCAGGTTTAGGTCACCCCCCAATATAATGTTATCGGATGAATACTTATTTTGAAGCTCTTCGATTTTCAGACCGATTTCTTCGAGAAGCTTGGAGTTCTCTCTTTTGTTGTTATACCCATAAATATTTATTAAAACAAATCGCCTACCATCCAAGTTCACAATTAGAATAATCCAATGTCCAAATTTGTCAACTTCATTAGAAATAATATCCCCTTTAAAGTTTTTAAGTAGAATAGCGACGCCAGCAGATCTTGTAGTACCATGGCTTAAATAAATACCATCTCCCCATTGCTTAGACACCTGATCATCAACTGCAGAATGTGTTTCTTGTAAGAATATGATATTGAACTCCATCCCCTTGCAGAACAAAAAATGTTTTTCCTTTTAATCAAGTTTCTCAAGCCTCTCACTTTGATAGAAATGAAAGAAAATTTGCTTTTCAAACTACACATATGAAAATTAAGTCAGAATAGAAGAATAAACTAAAAAAGAGAACAGAAACAATTATTAACTTACTTGACTTTTCTTCTAAACCTCCAAACTAGCAGCATTAAACATTCAGTAAACTCACCTCACCCTGACTCCCAAAACTTGGCTCATTATATATTTAGGGCAACACCTTTTGCCCATTGATGTAGGCATTTGGACCTCTGAACATAGTCTTCATATCAGCCTTTCTAGCTTTTTTCACCTTTGGCCAAACCGCCATTCGTGCCTCTCGGTCTTCTTTCGTCAGGTCTTCCGCGAAACGGATGTTCATGTCCTTGCAGACGCAGTGAAGTTTGGTGGTTCTCCAGAGATCTTCTCTTTCCAATGTGGCAGAATGCGCCCATTATGCCAGCGACCACATGCCATGTATTTTCTCCTTGTTCTTCTTTAAGTCCACTGAGTCTCAAGTTCCACCTCCGTTTATACCACTCGAGCTCTGTGGTTTTAGTTGATATTCGGTCATCTTCTCCAGCATTGCTGTGTTTTGTTCTTTTAGCATTTCCACCTCAGCAGATAACTTTTTTTCATCTCCTTGCAGACCTTGATTTCCTCGGAGTTAAACTCCACCGCTTTTGCTATGTTGACCATGGTTAGGGAGTTCTGTTTCAGCTCCATCTTGAACTCCTCCATTAGGGTTTTTAGTGACTCTATGACCGTCAGTGTAGCGTTTGAGCTCTCACTGCCGTCGCTATCGTCTTTGGCTTTTTATTTCTTCGCTGGATTAACTTGCTTGGCCAGTGATGTAAGAGCATTTTTGATGCCTCGGGCATCTGTCTCCATATCAGAACCGCAGTAGTCATGAGACTGAAGAGCAACTTTCGGTTTAACACCACCTTTAGGAGTCGCCATCTTTCTACAAAACCATGCAAAGCCAACGTCCACAAAACAGTCCCTCTGCAGTTCAGAAGATCCAGAGCTCTATGCCCCTCCTCCACAAGCGATGACGGGTGAGTTGAGGTTCTTTGGAAGCAAATTTTCAGGGGTTTAGCTGCTAGCTCGTTACCGTGCGTGTGCGCCCTCCGCAATCTTGGCCCAACCCCGACTCTGAGTCATTACAGTATAATCGCTGATGTGAGCCAATACTGTTAGACTCCAGCCATGTTTGCCCTGATAACTAATAACTCCACGGTGCATAACCCATGTGATCTTCAGTAGATGCAATTACATCGTCATACATTTAGCTTAACATGATAGATTTTGTTTCTCTGGACAAGAAGTAAATGAAATGGCCACCTGTAGATGAAATTTAAATAATTTTACATTAATTATAAATATATAATTAAAAAGTGCCTGTGGGTCATTTGATACATCTCTTGCTCTCAAGTGTGTGTGTGTGTGTGTGTGTGTGTGTGTGTGTGTGTGTGTGTGTGTGTGTGTGTGTGTGTGTGTGTGTGTGTGTGTGTGTGTGTGCGCGTGCGCGTGTGCGTGTGCGTGTGTGTGTGTGTGTTAACAGACAGCTGTACCAGAGGCATTAAGGTTAAAGTTTGACAATCAATACATTTTTATGTATTCTACTGATTTATGTATAATTTCTCAAGACAGCTTGAAGTGAGTTAACTTGTAAATATTTTAAAGGAGGAAAAATATCGAGATATATATCGTATATTGGAATTCAGCAAAAAGATATTGAGATATAAGTTTTGGTCCATATCGCCCAGCCCTAGTGCCTCTGTACTATCCTTCAGACCAGCTTGTTCTAGCCGTCGGCATAGCCAGGTTTTTATACATTATAGACACTCCATGAGAGCAGCATTGAGTCATAGGCTGTCTTGTAATCAATCCAGGCCATATACAGGTTGGTGTGTTTGGAGTGTCTATAGTATATATGAACCTCTGTAAATAGTTGTTTTTTGTTTTATTACTCTAAGTTTGTACGGCTAATGTCAAGATGTAAAATTATAAATCCATTGATATTAGAAGCTACTGTTGCTTTTCTCAAACATTCATCCTGAAGTCGATGTGTTTTTCAGGTGGCAAAGAAAAAACTATCACATTTTATATAATCCATGTCCGTCAGTAACACATATATACTAAATTTAACCCATCTCCATGAAGTATCCCACAAGAGTTCCCTTTAAAATGAGACCTAACAGTAATCAAAGACCTTGTGGCTACAGAAACATACTCACTAAAGTGTGGGCCTAGGGCCTTAATGTACATTTAGTACTGAGCAACATGGATTTAGACTATTGGAATAAGTTCTCTGTCATGCAGCTGTCTTTCATGTCCGCAGGCTGTGGCTTCAATAGCTGAAATTCCCAAAGACATTCCCGTCCACCTGGAGCTGGCGAGCATGACTGACAAGGATTTCATGATCAGCATCGTGCAGGAGGTATATGTGAACTACAGTAGTGATGATGAACCACATCAGAGGACTGCTGTGAGGCTAAAGTGTTTCTTCCTGCTTCCTGTTAGCAGGTCATGCCAATGGTCAGCTCCATGGGACTAAATGAACAGGAGCTGCTCTTCCTTTCTCAGGCTGCGGGAGGGCCTCATTCGGCTCTGCCTGCATGGAAAGGCATCCCAGACGTGGGACGGGTTAGTGACATCCTCCTCTGGATCCTGGAGCATCATGGCCGCGGCGCCATCTCATCAGAGTCTGATCTGACCCGTATCCACTTCCACACCCTGGCCTACCACATCCTAGCTACGGTGGGGGGGCACTGGGGCAACCAGGCAGCTGCTGTGATGGCGGGAGCCCGTGTGGCCAGCAGTCAGGCCTGTGGACTCCGGGTTGTCGACGTTGAAAAAGTGGAGCTGAAGGCCCCACTGGAGTTTTACAGCTCCCACTCAGAGCCCAGGGACCACCTGTCCCTGAACCCAGCGGAGCCCGTTATGGTGTGGCACCGCGGGAATGTGACCTTCCACATGTCCCCAGTCCTTGTCTGCAAACACCCGCTTCGGACAGTTGGACTTGGGGATGCCATCTCAGCAGAGGGACTCTACTATTCCCAGTTTAAAGGTGAGCAGCACCTCTGAGACTTGAGTCTGGGAACACTGGTTGGAAGACCTGAGCAGCCAGTCAACCTTCAGCTGAAGACACAGCCCCAGCTCCCTCTGTCTCAAAGATCTGCTGAGTTAAGTGACCGGCATTAGTTCCACCCTGCCTAATGACCAACACCTCTGTGCTGCCGTGCAGCAGGACTCTATGCAAAGTGCAGCAGCTCAAAGCCATCAGTAGGACCTCTGCATGTATTCTCCATGCTGCTGTGCCTTGAGACAGAGAAACACGTTAAATCACTCCTAGCAGAGCCACATGGACGACGGACCCTCTCGCACGATGATTTCACGTGAATCAGGTTGTTTTTGGTGCAGGAATTTGTTTACATCAGATAACCTTAACTGTCCTAAAGAACTGTAGTTTTCTGTTTGTTTGTTTGTTTGACCTCAACTCTTCCTTCTCCATCAGCACGTATGGGAAATCCATAGCAGCTTCATTAAGCTGTAGATCAGTGCTAAAAGGTTCTTCTTGCAGCTTGTGTTCAGATACCTGCTAATGCTACGTGTTCTGGAGTTGGTCTGGTACAGATGTTATTTCTGCTCATTTGTGGTCAGAACCTGTAACGTGTCCTGGTCGACTGGAAACTCCTAGAGAAGATCAGTGTTCCTAGTCACAAAACACCTTTCTGGGTGTGCAGATCATGTGTCTGTTCCTCCAACGGCCTTTAAGGCAGCAATAATCCTATTAATGCAAACTCACGGTTTCAACAGAATGGAAGCGACACACACACACACACACACACACACACACACACACACTCCTTTTCTTTATTTTTGCAAGGACAATCTCTTCTGCCTTACCTGTCCTGTGTGTGAGGTTCCATTTGTCTGTGGATGGTCATTAAACATGATGGAGAGAAGTGTTGCAGGTTTGTTTTGCGTCGCTACCATTCAGAGCTGCACGGACACCAACTCATTTGTATTTGTCGTCTTTAACATCTGGCATCCTCCCCCACCATCTGAGCCAACAGTTGACAGCTCCACCCCTCTCTTCACCCGAGTGTCCAAGACATGCAGCCGCAAAGTCGATCATCGAGCTGCGGCCTAAGGTCTGCTGGTGCTAAGAGCACATATGGACACCTTTATGTCTGAACATGGTGTTCATTATGGACAATCCATGACCGGCACATGGTGGGGGAGGATGCCAGTCAGACCAGGCAGGCCCAAACGTATCGCGAGGGTCTGCTGGGAACGTCTAGCAGAGTCTCCTGTCAGAAGGAGCTTCAATTCCCACCTTCGACAGAACTTCCAAAATGTTCCGGGGGAGGTGGGGGACACTGAGTCTGAATGGACCCTGTTCCGTGCCTCCATTGTTTATGTTTATGTTTTTTTTTTGGCAGATGCTTTTATCTAAAGCGACTTACAATTTATAACCTATAGGGCATGTTGTGATCTGTGGGGTTAACCAGAATACCCGGAGGAAACCCACGCATGCATGGGGAGAACACGCAACTCCACACAGAAAGGCCGCAGCCGAGTTTCGAACCTGCAACCTTTGTGCTGCGAGGCAACAGTGCTGACCACTGCGCCACCATGCAGCCCAACCATTGTTGAGACAGCCGACTGGAGCTGTGGTCGCAGGATTGTCGGTGCCTGTCGTGGTGGCAACCCCCGAACCCGCTGGTGGACACCGGCGGTTAGGGATGCTGTCAAGCTGAAGAAAGAGTCCTATCAGGTCTTTTTGGCCTGTGGGACTCCAGAGGTAGCTGACGGGTACCGGCAGTCCAAGCGGAACACGGCTCGGGTGGTCGGCGAGGCAAAACCCCGGGCATGGGAGGAGTTTGGTGAGACCATGGAACAAGACTTCCGTATGGCTTCGAGGAAATTCTGTCACCAATTATTTGCACATCTGTGACTCTCGTCCAGAGCTTAGAGTCTAAACTTATAGGAAACAGGACCAATCAGTAAAAATCAGTTAAACAATGAAAATATAATAATTTAATAACCCTGGCTTAAAAGGTTAAGTTTATTTGTTTTGTTCTCATTTACCCGTTACTTGTGTTGAGACTTTATAAAAAAAGTTATTGAAAGCTTTACATGAGCTAAATTATGTGGAGAATAAAGTTTCAAAATACCTGTGTGTGTGTGTGTGTGTGTGTGTGTGTGTGTTTGCATAACTAAAGGTTTCTGTGTGTATGTCTAGATCGTGTGTGCATAACTAAAACTTTGTGTGTGTAACTAAAGATTTGTGTGTGTAGGTAGATCTAAGCACGTGTAACTCTTGATTTGTAACTTGTGTTTACATTTTCATGTGTAACTTCAGCTCCTACACACACACACACACACATTTGGTACACACGAACAAAACTACATTACCCACAGATCAGTTTACAAGTACAACAGTCCTTTTGAGACTTCTCACCTGACTGATTTGTGCGTACATGGTGCATTTGAATGCTGGTTGGAAGCTGGGAAATCGAATTTCCTGTGGAATTAGTCTAAACTTGTTTTGAAGGGACAGATATGTTTTTCTGTGGAAACATATAGTATCTCAGGATCCTGTAGTTATAAAAGATAGACCTACATTTAACTATTAATAATCAAAAAATTGTTTATTTGGACATATGTGTTTATGAGCCATGAAAACATAGTCAAAGGGTTATAAGAAAAGCCCACTAGGTGGCAGAGTGGTCCTCTGGATAAAGCAGGCTTCAAACCATGAGCAGGCACAAGAAGATGGTGCAGCGTCCTCCTGATCTAGACGGGGACTTCCGCTAAGGGTACGTAGACCGACAGAATGGCGTCAAATGTGTTTATGAATCTCCTAACCAAAGCTTAGAGCGAAGACATCACCTTCATTTCCCATCAGAACTAATTGCTTCTTCGGATTTGCTGGTTCTGAGCAACATTCCACATTCCACCATTCTCCCTCTCATTCACCTTAGTTACACCATACTGTGTTTAAGTTAGTCTAGTTTAATTTATGTAGTAATAAATCTTTAAACTTTTAAACTTGACTCTCTCTCTCTTCTGTTGTCTCTGAGTGAATACGAAGCTGTTATCTAATATCTGCAATAAAAGGTTTCCAATCTTCTGGTTAAAATAACCCAACAGATCCATAAGGTTGATTTCATATTTTTTATGGAATCCTACGTCTTATGGCTTATTAAATAACATGTAATTTAAATCATTACACAACTTTATATGTATAGTCTACAAAAGCACACTACTCGGTAAAGCCTTGTAATTCTGCGCAATTAAGAGTTGCTTTATAATGTAGGTTTATTTAAACATCAGTACACATCCAACATTGTTCTTTACTACACATTCTCTTTAACAATATAACAATCTACATTCTGTTCAAACAGCTGTTCTGAGATTATCAAAGCTTTAAAATGAAATAAGATAATAAATGAAAATGTATATTTCAAATAGTGATAAATAAAGTGTTGCACTTTCTATTAGCACTAGTTTCTTTTTTTGCTCTGTAAGAAAACAGTTGAACTACAACTCTATAATACTTTTTACAACATCAAATTGTCCTTTTCTGCTAATTCAAATATCAGTAATTCGTGTTCACAGACATATAATCAGTATGAACAAAGAATGAAAAAATTGCGCTGTTTTCTGCAAGTTTGCAATTCACAGTATAAGATAACGTTCTAATGATACCATTATACCCCCTAAAAAGGTTCTTCTTCATTATCTTGTTTTCCTCTATATAATAGTTTCAAAAGAACATGCCCAACCCTACAACAATAATAATAAACGCTTGAGAAGTGCACTGGTCTCTGTGACTTTGTTTATTACTGTATCATTGTCCAAAGACATGAGAATTTCTCTCTCAGTGCACATGAGCATGAAGGCCTCAAGTTTCTTCTGGGTCAAAGTGCTCCTTAGTCTGTTTTTTATGAACTTCATGATTGAAAAACTTTGTTCACAGGATAACTGTGTGATGGACAGTGCTAATACCAACTTGTAGACCAGTCCAATCACATGGTAGGCATCAGTTAGAAGATTATACTGAGACAGGATGAGATGAACACAAATGACACAGTTTTTACAGGAGGAACAACGTTTGCTCTCTAGTTCAGCATCCTGCTGTGCCATTGAAGGATCCTGCTCGCTTCCTTGTGACATTACACCAGCTGTCCTGACAGTCTATCCCTCCAGAAGGGACATCTTTAGTATGTCTCACCGACATGCAAGTTCACTACGTAATGTGCCAACTGTAGCTCTGTTGTCAAATTTAAGCAGACATTTGCTTATTTCTTTCAGAGCTGACCTAAGGAGTCTATTTTCCCTCATGTGAGCAAAGTTCTGAGGGTCTAGCCAGGCAAACTCTGAGCAAAGTTTTGCATTGGCAGAAAACCTTCTATGGATACTGTCTGTCACTGTGCCCACAACGACTTTGTGAACTTTAACCGTGAAGTTCGTATCAGCTGATGCTAGATGCTCCTCTTCTGTGAGCTCTCCTGGCATTCTTTTCTTTTTTCTGAACCTTCTCTCAGGAAGGGCAGTCTGCACTGCCATCTCACACGCTTCCTCTTCTTGCAACTTCCTATTAGCCCACTTCACGAACTCATCAGCTGCACACACTCCCTGAGACCCTCCTCTGTGCCTTCAACCAGACGTTGAGCTGTAATAATATCCATTCCTTTTGTCTGCAAGTACTTTGAAAGAGGAAATGTTTGCTCAAAGATGCGAAGGAAAGTTTGAGCTGTGAGCACTGTCTCATACCTCAAAAGGCCTTCGATGAATCCTTTTGCCTCTGCCCTCACAGTTGGCTGTTGTGTTCTGTCATCTACAATGGTGTGTAATGTCATAAGAACATCATGAAACAAGGCCCCCTGAGGGTTCCTAAAGCACCCAAACACTTGACTTGTTGCCTGATCCTTAGCCCACCTCCTGGTTGGCCCTATTGGGCACAGTCATCTGTGATGCTTGTCCTGACTCATCTCTTCCCGCCTCTGCATGCGCTTGAGTGACTCTCATAGAAAAACTATATCATTAAGCAGTGAAAACAGGGATGCACTTTCAACAACACTGCCTGTGGGGTCTGCCAGTACAAGATTCAAAAGATGTGCATAACACCATATATGAATCTGATTGGGGGACTGCTCAGAGATTAGTGCGGAAACCCCCGATACTGTGAGAGGCACCTGGCTACAGCAAAATGTTGACTGTAGGTAAGCTACAGTCACCACAGTTTCCAAAGATTTTCCATCACTTCAGAGGTGAAGTGAGTACCCCTGTCCGAGTCAACCCGAGTGGGAAAACCGAACCGGGTGAAGATGTGATTCATCAAAAGAATAGCTGTTGTTTGTGCTGTGTCATTAGGTGCTGGTAGACATTCAACCCACTTGGTGAATGCACAGGTCACGGTCAAGATGTATTTATTACCTCTGCTGGACCTGGCCAGAGGCCCCACCCAATAGAATTGCAAGTCCGACCACGGTGTGGACGGTCCCTTTCTCTGTAGGGGAGCTCTGTGTGCAGGGTTGAACGGCTGAAACTGACAACAAATCAAACAACGCTGGACGTGATCTGAGACGTTGCAACGCATCCCCGGCCAATAAGCAACCTGGCTCAGGGCACCGAATGTGGCCTTGACACCTTTGTGTCCGGCGGAGGGAGAGTCATGAGCTTGCGTGATCATGCCCCCCCTTAGTGACTGTGGCGCCATGAGGACAGGTGGCAAAGGAGGCTTGGAGGCGTGCATCAGCAACCCTTCAACCATTCTCAGCGTGACCCAAACACGAAAGAGAGCACGGAGCTCAGGAACAGAGTCAAGCTCGGTGGAAGAAGGCAGATGAGTTGTAGGATCAGAAAGGTACAGATCATCCTGCTTATAGCAGGGTCCTGGGACTGAAGACTGACAAGATCGGTACCAGAAAAGACAGGTTGAACGGACACAACACCCTCAGATGGTTTGGAGGTGGCCGCATTAGCGGCCTGAGCTCGAGTCACGACACACACACAGGGTGGGTCAGACCGAGAAGACACATCCTCAGGAAGCTACAAGGGGTTGTAGACCCATGGAGTACCATCGGCCGCCCCTTGTTTGGCAAGAGAGTCTGCAAGGTCGTTCAGATCCTTATCAGTTCCGGGTGCACGAGAATGTCCTTTGACTTTACGCCAATAAATGTGCATGTCATGTGACGTCACTAGGGCGTCACAAGCCGTGAAGAGGTCCTGATGTTTAACGGGCTTCCGGTTAGAGGTTAGGAACCCGTTACTCTTCCAAGAAGGCAGATGACAAATGAAACTGAGACGCGCGTAGTCCGAGTCAGTGCAAATCACCATTTCATGGACACCATGGTCCACAGCGAGTTGGAGTATTATCAAGATCCCAGACGTTCAACCAGACGACACCCACGCCTGACCTAGGCGCAGCACCATGTCGAAAAGAACTGCCATCGACGTACACAGTTGGCAAGTCCACACAGAGAGACTGATCGAAGTAGTGATGGTTGGGGTTTAGAAGAGTCTGAGGAGGGCTAGCTGGTGGGACTGACATGACAGCGTCGTCTGAGCAGTGTTGGCATGCAGCCAAACCCATGCCAAGAGGGCTACGGCAGTTCTGGGCATAGCGTACTTTGATGTCAAAGCTTTGAAGAGCCAGCAGCCATGACGCGATTCGCGCATTGGTCACCACACCATCTCTGATGCGCTGACTGTAAAGGCTGGTGCTGAGTTTCAGTGATGATTTTCTGACCACCGATGAAGCTAGAAAAGTGTTTAACCACCCACATGGTGGAAAGCAAAGCTTTTTCACAGCCAGTGTACTTTAACTCAGGACTGGACAAGAGCTTACTAGCATAGGCTACGACACGCCTGTCACAGTTATATACTTGGTAGAGACCGGCACTCAAACAGTGCAATCACGGTGTAACCATGGACACATTGTTTGGTGTGTGTGTGTGTGTGTGTGTGTGCTCTGTCTTCTCGATCCCCAGTGAGTCGTGGTGGATGGCTGTTTATAGACCCTTTTACTGTTTGTAAACAATATGACATCAGCAAGAGTGCGCGCGCAGCTTGGCAACAGAGAATGGCGTTGTGTCAGGCTTTATCTACCTACGCTGCAGGGTTATCACCGGCAAATCTTGAATGTTATATTATTAAACTCACTTTAACGAATGGCAACAGACTCCCAGATCCCTGTGGCATTACAGAATGGGTGGAAGATGTAGGTGCGTGGCCAGATATCCAGTGGCCCGATATATATACGTTTTTAGTGGAGAGGCCCAGTAAGTACACACGTGAGAAGCTACGGGCATACAAATCGTTAGATGCATACAACTTTGTTGTCTGTGGCCACGTACAGAAAGTAAAATATCACGACATAGACTCTGAGTTTTGCGTCTTGAAGGCAGAAGTCCTTCCTAGCCAAAGACAAGGACACAAGACTGCTATGTACGAGGCTTGGGTCATAGTAAAGAAACCAGAGAACTACGTCTTCACAGCCAACTGTACCTGCATGGCAGGGTGAGTATAGCATAGGTTTCCTTTTTTAGCGTGCTCAGAGTACAATCGTGTTAATTTTAGAGAAATACAGTTTATACTAATATGCAGTGGGAAAATACAGATGAATTAGAATGAAATGTTAATTTGAAGCATGAAATAAAGCGTAAATTTGTTTAATTCTGTCATTTTGATGTTCCAGACTTGGGTCATGCTGCAGCCACGCAGCAGCAATTTTATTCAAAGTTGAGCTTTGTGTTAGGATGGGAAAAACAGAAAAGGCTGCAGTTACATCTCAGGCATGTGCATGGAAAGACCTGAGCAGGAAAAATGTAGAACCAGCTCCACTGAAGAAGATCAGTTTCCACAAACCGAAGAAGTTTTGCTTACAGCTCCCAGCTGCTTCCGAAACTGTTAGGAGGAGTAGTGTCACACTAAGAGGCATGTAACGAATGACAAGTGTAATCTAAGTTCTGGTTTGTGGTTGCACATTGAATGTATTATTTCTTAATTAATTGGTAATAATTTATTCTGTGTCTTTAGATAAAGGAAAAGACAGAAACATAAAATGTATTAAAACTGCATTCTAATTATGTCGTATTACCCTTTCCCCAGCCTTGACAGATGATGACATCCTGGAACTAAAGGCAGTGGAGCCAGAAGCTGCAGTCCGGACAAGCATGGACAACAGTGACACAGATACAGCTTCATCAGACACGGATACAGAGGAACAAACTGGCTTTCCAGAGCCCTTGACTGCTTTATTTGACACTGCACTCAGGGAGCTCTCATCACAGCCCTCTACGTATGTCTAAGTGCAGTTTAAAACTGGAAGTGGGCACCAGCACTTGGGATGAGGCTGAAAGATCCCCTTGCCAAATGTTGTTTAGTGTGCTCACTCCCAAGGCCCTAAGTGTGTTTGCGTGGAATGCAGGTTGTGGAAGTGTTTAATGTGCAAATAAAATTGGGGGGCAGGCTGCCACAGGAATGCGGAAATGGGATCCATACCCGCACACCTTGACTTGCTCAACCCCCAAGGTCCTATATGCATGATTGTGTGATAATGTGAAGGAGCAGGAGGAGAAAAATGTATGGGGATGGGGAGGAATGGCTGGTTGGCCTAAGCCCTCCAGAGAGCCAGCTCCCCCACTGGCCCCAATAGGCACCCCTGTTGCCAAAATGCCACCCAGGGCATGGAGACCCCAGCCCATCTTGCCAGGGCCCAAAGCAGCAGCATCGCAGAGCCCCACAGAGCCCGGGGGCACCAACCCAGCCCCACCCCAGCAGAATATCTACTCCCACCCCTGCATTTGCACAACTTCCAGAATATTTAACACATGAGACATCCAGACTTCTGATTACCTTCAATGTCTGTTTGTTGCAACCACCAGGTAGAAAAACAAACTTGTTTTTATTTGACTATTTTTCTGTCCAGTCTCTGCCTTATCTTCCTGCATCTCCTCTCAATCCTGAAGAAAAACTGCTACCTGGCTTCATATATTTTCACCTCATGAATTACCTTTAAACTGCAGTTCAAAAAGATCAAAAATAGAGGAGTGCGTGCCGCGCACCGGTCGCAGCAGTGAGGTAAAGTTACCGGAGGACGAAATAGGTGATGTGCTCCGCAGCAGCGAAACGCATCAGGCACAAATATAAGACAGAAAGCGACATGAACAATCATGTGTTAAATTTGTTTTTGAGGTGGCGACGCTTTGAGAATATTACTGTGGCTGTGCTCAAGACGCATCTGTCTGGAGCACATCAACGATCAGAGCTCTGCGCCTCTCAGCTCAAAATAATCCCTGGAGAGTCCACATGAATAACGTAATTTCAGTAGAACCAGGATTGTTTTTGGGCTCCCCCTGGGTGTGTAAGCTGAGGGCTTCCAGGGGAGCCGGTCATCTTTTGGGGAAAGCTGGGCTTCCTTTAGCTCACCCGAAATTCAGACCCTGCGTATAGCACAAGTTGGTCGCGTGAGTTGCCGGAACCTAACAGACGGTTATCGGAACGGTCCTTTCAAAATATGACAGTTCCCAGATCTTGTTCCGGCAAGATCCAGCTCAAATGAAGCCCTGATTTCACATATGATGTCCGTGAATTTTAAAGACACATTTTGATACCAAGAACGCGCTTATTTTCGAACGGGGGAAACTTTATTTTAGGTTTTGTGTGAAAATAAGTCCAGGACTACAAATGCGCTTCACAAAATTGACGTCATCGAACCAGACACGGAGAAAACTGAGGGAAAATGGCTGTAAGTTCAGCAAACTTCTCACAGGAGGAAAGAACCACCATAAATCTGGTCATGGTAAGTAGCAGCTATGCTAGGAAGGAGGAGCTTATGTGGTGACGCCACATATGTGACGTTCTGATTTCTGGTGTGTAGATATGCTAATTACGAACTTTTACAAGCTGATAAATCTCAAAGTACATGAATGGTGTGGTCAAAACATCCATCATTACTTTTTTAAAAATTGCAGTACAACATGTGTGTGGCCCAGGGCGTAAGGCAAAGCGGGTTGGAGGATGGCTCTTTTAGCCCCAGTGACTTGCATTAACTTTTTCGTTTTTCCGGGAACCCATGGTGCGGAAGTGACTTAGGCTCCATATAGCTTTGAGCTGAAGAGGGCGCTAGACAGACGTTTCTAGGCACAATTTATAGTTTTTAAAGGAATTGCACCAAAATGCAAAAACAATGACTACACGTGTCTACAACACATTTAGACTCTTATTTATACAAGTTATCAACAACAACAAAAAAAAGCTTTTGGTGTGACTTTTTTTAAAACTAATGTTTTGAGCTCATTTGTTCTTCATACTCAGGATTACCACTTTGACTCACAGCGACGTGTCTAAGCCCTCACCCCACCCCCGCCACCACCCTTCCTATCTCTCTCCCTCACTCTCACACAGCAGCAGTTGTCATGGCGATGGAGTCAGCTGCGGCGTCGGCTCCTGGGGCTGTTGCCATGGAGATGCGGGTTGCTCTCCCGGTGGTTGAGGAGGACAAGGAAAATTCCAGCTTTCCAGGGTCCAAGGAGCAATCTCGACGCGGCCGGCGAGAAGGACGCCGAAGGTGCGGAGTGCCGTTCAGCCGCAGCAGATATTACCTGCTGATAGTGATCGGAGAGATCGGCTCGGAGCAGCAGCTGGATGCAGCCAGGGCGCAGATAGAGCGGGGTGAGTGCTGGATGGAGGGGGTGGGGGTAGCAGGGTTCAGAGATGGAAACATCAGGATTAAAACGTTTTGACGCAATGAGCTGGATGCTGCTGCAGCATTGCACCAACTGTCTATCTTCTGTCCCCTGCTGCACCTGACCATCCGTGTTCGTGTTTATGTGCTTCAGACACTGCAGTTTCTTGTTTGTGTGCTGAGGTTTCCATGGAAGTTGCTCTGAACACATGATCCTTTGTGGTAATGGGGTTAGTTTAGAGTCCTCTGTGCATGACACCAGTCTGTTAGCAGAGAGCCTGTCAGCATTTTGCTGTGAGGGTGTTGTCACTGCACTTAAAGCCTCCTGCCCAGGACCACCTCCCTCTGATCTCCTGCTGCTGTAGGGCCATTAGAGAGTTGACAGATATGCAGCTCTGTGCCGTGATCAGGATCACACCCACCCTACCATAGTTGATATTTTCAGACATATCCGTGCAGGCTCACCGCTGCTACAATCCTCCAGACAACACACTCAGATTAATTTATTTTTTGCACTGATTAAATGGGATTTTTAATCTTAGCTGTACTGCAATTAAATATTGCTGCAAGTTGCTGCAAGTAAGCATAATTTAACCCCAGACAGGGCTGTGCAGTCAATCTAGTTTGTATTTGAATTTAACGTTTTACTCCGAATGGTAAAAAAGACAGACCTGGTTTATTCCACTAATAAACAACCATCAGCTGACATGAGTCTGTCTGCTGTGGCCTTAATATGAGAATTCTGGTTGCTTTAGGAGGAAACTTCTAGCATAGAATACAGATATTTATTTGTTTTATCAGCCAGACATCATCTATAGAAAAGAGGGATGCTTCGATTCGATCACGTGATCAGAAAATCATGTGATGTTCTAAATATCGGAATTGGTGAAAAAGATCGGATTTAACTTTATTAAACAACAAATATGACTTTTTGAATTCATCCTGAGATAAAACATTTCAAATGGAATAACAATGGTTTAGTTTTAGTCTCAACAAGTTCCTCTACATCACTATTCTTTATTTCTTGGATGAAAACAACATTATTACCTGTCATGTTCTGTGTCCTTGTAGTGCCCAGCTCCCTCCTGGTTTCCCTCATGTTTCCCCCCCAGGTGTCTCTAGTTTCAGGTTTATTAGTATGCTTAACTTTAGTTTTCTGTACATTTATGTTATTTAGTCAGTATCTTCCTTTTGTACAATGTGTTTCTCTCCCACTTAGGCCCTGTCCACACGTAGCTGGGGAGCTGCCAAAACGTAGATATTTTTCTACGTTTTGGCCTGTCATCCACACGAAAACGGAGTTTTTTCACACGAAAACGGATCTTTTTAAAAACTCCGGCCAAAGTGAAGATCTGCGTTTTCTCCGTTTTGGGTGTCTGTGTGTGGACAGACAAAACCGGAGTTTTAAGGTCCGCAACGTCACTTTCCGCGACAAAAAAATGCTGACATCACGTGTGCGACCTGTTTTTACACTAGCCGACATCATGGATGCCCTCAGAGCTGCGCTCGCTTTATCAATTGTCCAAGCGCTTTTTGCTTGTTTGTTTTTGCAAGCGGAATTACTGCTCCTTGCGGAAGACTACAGACGAAGGACAAGGTTAAGAACAGGGGAAGTACTGCCGCCTACAGGTCTGGCATGTCCTTAACAACGTATTTATCCAGCTACGTGTGGACGGAGTTTTGTTTTAAAACGAGGTGGTGTGGATGCAAGTTTTTGAGGGGCGGATATTCGTTTTTAAAAACACCCGACTACGTGTGGACTAGGCCTTAGTTATTAGTCTCTCTTGGTCACTTTGGCTCACACTCCCCTCCTCTGCTTGGGTTTTCCCTTCCCATTTAGTGAATTGATCTCACAGTTCTCTCCTCAGTTCTCTCTCCCATGCACCTGCTCCTCGTCTCCTAATCACCCAGCCCTGTGTATATAACCCTGTCTGCGTCTCAATATTTTGTCGGTCCATTGTTTGTCAGCGTTGTTTTGTCTCCCCGCTAGGTTTCTAGGTCTCTGCTCATAAAGTGAGCTTAATTTTTTTTGTAGTTCAGTATTAGTTACTAGGCTTGGCTTCCTATCCTTTGGATTTTGGCTCCTCTTCATAAATAAAGGATTTTACTTTTTACAATCGCTCCTGCCTCGTGTCGTCTGCTGTTCTGCATCTTGGGTCCTAACGTACTCCTGGTCTCAACGTGACATTACCTCGCACATTTTACAGCTGACGTGGAATCGGACAACATACCACGGCTAAAGCGTAATTTATAAATCAGGTATGGTATAAATACTTCTACGTCTGTCAGTGTGGACACATGCAACACCATTATGTGTCAGCGTAGGGCTGGAAGATATGGCCTAAAATCAATATTACTGTATATTGAGGATTTTATCTCGATAACGATGAATGGACGATAACTACAGGTATGCACAGAAACAAAAGTTGTCCACTAGATGGGGCTGTCACATGCATCACGTTGAGTCACATTTTTACGTGACTCAAGGTGGTACAGCTTCTTAAAGGGACATGAACGTTTGTCAACCTTCACACATCTTTTCATTATTTATTACCAAATTTATTGACATGGGGAAAAATGATCACGATAAGAGTCAGAAATTTTGATAACGATAAATTTTTGCTTTATTGCCCAGCCCTACGTCAGTGCAAGGGCTCACCAACAAGCTCACAGAGGGTGACGGAGACTGTCAAACATCCATTAAAAGTGACAGAGCCCGCAAAATCGTCACCAGCACTGCCATTGCCCCGTTAAAGTAAAAAGATATTTAGTGGTAGACGTGGAACAGATTGAGGAGTGCATTGCAGAAAAAGTCTGAAAATATGAACCTTTATTCACCCGTGACTGAAGGAATGATGATGGGAAACGTGGGTTTAGAGGTGGCGACTGCGTGAAGAGGTAGAAGAGAATGAAGCACAAATTTGTCCGTGTTATAAAGTCTCTGAAATATTTAAACACATTGGTAAATACACTACTGTGGATCAGATACATGAGCGTTATGGTCGCATGGGACCACAGAAAAATGCTACGCCCTATGTGGATCTGACGGAAAATTGCTTTGCAACGCTCCCCAGGTGACAGAGAAGTCCGAGAGCAAAACGTCTCTTCAATGCATGTGCATATCTCCCTTGTGGAAAAGTAAAAATCTTGCTAACAGAGCTAAAATGTACTCACAGAAGAGCTAAAATGTCTGTATTTTGGTGGTATTTTGAACTGGACAACAAAGGCAGGGAATGAGCCACTTGTAATGTCTGTATGCCGGGCATTTATTGATCTTTTATGATTGTTCTTTGTGCAGTGCTTTGGTCAGCTCACATGGTATGGTATGGTACTTAACATGCTGGAAGAAAAAAATGTGATCAGAACATCTAATAGATGATATTGATTTGAAAAATTAATGAACAGACTGATTTATCCTTCTACATCTGATCAGAAATCCGGTTTAGTTTCTGATCGTCACATGGAGTCTGGTTCAAATGGAAACAGGACCGTTTGTCTGCCCTTTGCTGATTCCTCTGTCCCCTGCTGTCCTCCGTCTCTCACTAATTTCACTGTCCTCTTCTTGTCAGGAATCCGATCCTGGGACGTGGATCTGAAGTGCTGTGACCTGGATCAGCAGCTGCAGCTATTCATAACACGTCACTCTGCCCACTTCTCTACAGAGGTCAGAGGTCAGTCTGATGTGGCCCCGTGAAACAAGTTGGGCTATTGTTGTGTACTACAATCTGAGATTAAACAGACTTTCTGAACTTGTTAGCTTTTCCTTAGAAAAAACAAGTAGGAACAACATTTACCAGATAAGAGACAGGAGTTTGTTCAGTAAGCGGTGAGTTTCCCGATCAAACCCAGGCTGAGTCCATGTCAGTCGTTGGGCAAAATACTTTCCCCTCCTGCTGCTGGTGGTGGTCAAAGGAACTAAAGGCTTCAGTAATTGTGTCTCAGGGCAGCGATTGCTACGATGTAGCTCATTATCACCATGGGGGAGTGATTGAATTGGACGTGCATGATTATTATTATTAGTACGGTCGGTACGGGACCGGAATTTGGTTTCACTCATAGGTCAGAAATGCGTTTTTGGTTCTGAGGCAACTTTTCTTTTTTCAGACCTCCTCCCCAGCCATCTGTTTTGGACCGAGGTGACACTACGGACTGATTGGCTGGCTGAAATTATGCCTAACGACTCCAATTGGCGAGTAGAATTAGCCAGCGGGGGGTTCCCAATGCTCGATTCATTTTCGTGCTGGATGCTGTTGAGTTACGTTCTCTGTCTGTAGCATGGAGCTGCTGCTTGGTGGGAGCGGGAGAAAAGTGAAAGCTGTGCGTGTATGTGGCCCTGTCCTCGGCGCATCGGAGCTCTCACCCCAGCTGACCGGCAGACAGCTGCTCAGTGGGAGGAGAATGCAATGTGTGTGTGTGTGGCCCACAGCAGCGGCAGACAAAGTTTTATGAGGACACATACAGCAAGTTAATACAATAATGTGGCTCAGAGTCTCTAAAAGCAACACAACTCACCAGTTTTTGTTTGTCTTATTATGGAGGACACCATGGACTTTTCCGTGCGTCTTAAACGCTGCTCACATGCTCGAGGATTTCCACATTCCTGAGAAGTCCTGCGGAACAATAATATAAACGCAACACTTTTGTTTTTTGCTCCCATTTTTCATCAGCTGAACTCAAACATCTGAAACTTATCTACATACAAAAAAGACCCAATGACTCTCAAATATTGTTCTGAAATCTGTCTACATGTGTGTTAGTGAGCACATTTCCTTTACCAAGATAATCCATCCCACCTCACAGGTGTGGCATATTAAGGGGCTGATTAGACAGCATGAATAATGTACAGGCGTGCCTTAGACTGCCAACAATAAAAGGCCATCCTGACATGTGCCTCAGGGCACTGTTTAGCTTCATGTGGGGTGGTGGGGCAGAAAACCAGTCAGTATCTGGTGTGGCCACCATTCGCCTCACAAAGAGCAACACAATTCCGTTGCAAATATGCGAGGATGGGTGTGATGTGCATGTGTCTGTCAGTGTTGGTTAAAAATCTGGCCGCGGCATTTTGAACCTTCTGCAGTTTGCGTAGGGCTGAAGCATTAATCCCAATCAGGACAGAATTTGCGTAATCCAGACGTGAAGTAATGAAAGCATGAATGACTGACTCAAGATCCGGGCGTTTGAGGATTGACTTAAGACGAGTGATGCGGCGGAGTTGGAAAAAGCAGGACTTGACAGTAGTGTTGACTTGTGAAGACATTGAAAGGTCAGAGTCCAGTTTCACACCTAGGCTAGTGGCACATGATTTGAGATTGAGTGGGAGAGTTGAGACATCTAAAGCACCATTCATGTTAGTGGGGCTAAAAAGTATGGCATCTGATTTGCTGTTATTTAACCATAGGCAGTTTTGAGAAAGCCAGGATCTGACCTGGGAGAGGCATTCTGACATTAGAGAAAATGAGTGCTGTTGGTTGATTTGAAGGTAGATCTGGCAATCATCTGCATGAAAGTGGTAGTTAACTCCGAGAATTGCTAAAATCTTACCAAGTGGTAGCATGTAAACTGAAAAGAGGAGCAGACCAAGGATGGAGCCCTGCGGTACTCCCCATGGAAGTGGGACATTGGGAGAAGAGCAGTCTCCAACATGAACAGTAAAACACCGACCATTAAGGTATGACTTAAACCATTCGAGAGCAGTACCGGTCACACACACCCAAAATTGAAGTCTGTGAAGTAGGATGGTGTGGTCTACTGTGTCGAATGCTGCAGTCAGGTTGAGTAAGAGTAACAGCACATGGGAGCCAGAGTCAGTTGGAATCAGGATGTCATTGAGTACCCTAATGTGTGCAGATTCTGTGCTGTAATTACATCTAAAACCTGATTGGAATGGGTCAAGAAGCCCATTGTCATCTAGGTGAGAAGTGAGCTGCTTGAGAGTCAGTTTCTCAATTACTTTTGAGATGAATGGAAGTTTTGAGATTGGACGATGATTGGCACAGTCGGACTGGTCAAGGCCTGGTTTCTTTAATAGCTGCTGAACAACTGCATTTTTAAAAGCAGCTGGAAACACACCAGAGGAGAAGCTGGAATTGACAATATCCAAAACAGCAGGGGCCACCGCTGGAAGGACATCGCGCAGCAGTCTTGGAGGAAGGCTGTCCTCTGGAGAGCCTGAGGGCTCCATAGCCAAGATTAGGTCAACCAGGGAAGAGAGTGTCACATGAGCAAAGCAAGAGAATAAGGGTGGACAGTGAGTTTTCACACAGGTAACCCAGCCTGAGCAAGAGAAACTGGTTGTAATTTCCAGGATTTTATGCAGGAAACTCATTGCAAATAGCCCCTGTAGAGGGAGAAGGGTTGGGAGATTCTCTAAGGGATAGTATAGAGGTGAGGACACTGTACAGTTTCTTCTGGTCGTTTTTATGCCTTGTGATTATTTTTGCAAAATATCTGTTTCTAGCTGTGCGGACAGCTTTCTGAAAGCAGGTCAAAGAATCCTTGAATATCATTTAATCATATAATCCTTGTATTTATCAGACACTTTAGTCCAAAGCGACTTACAAGTGATGATCGGCATGTTGCCTTTGAGGCTAACAACAACAATTACAACAACAACAACAAACAATTTCCAGTCAGTCGTAGGTGGCAGTGAGGCAGCATGATGAATCGTGGAGAGGTGCGAACAAGGAGTGGACAGTAGAGAGGGGGACGGGTGCAGGGAAGGTGCTGGTTTAGAAGATGCTCTCTGAAGAGCAGGGTCTTCAGAAGTTTCTTAAAAGTCGAAAAGGAAACCCCTGTTCTGGTAGTGCTTGGTAGGTCATTCCACATTTGTGGAACGATGCAGTCTGGATTGTCCTGAGCGTGGTGTAGGCACTGCTAGCTGACGATCCTGTGATGACCGGAGCGGCCGGGCCGAGACGTAAGCCTTTGCAAGAGGATTCAGGTAGATGGGAGGTGTACCATCTCGGACTTTGTGTGCTAGTTTTAGCTATTTGAATTTGATGTGTGCTGCTAGCGGTAGCCAGTGGAGCTCAATGAACAGAGGGGTGACGTGTGCTCTTTTTGGCTGATTGAGGACCAGACGCGCTGCTGCGTTCTGGACTATTTGAAGAGGTCTCACAGTACAGGCTGGAAGACCAGTTAGAAGGGCATTGCAGTAATCGAGGCGGGAGATGACAGTAGATTGCACCAGGAGCTGGGTGGCATGGTGTGTTAGGTATGGTCTGATTTTTCGTATGTTATACAGCACAAAGCGGCATGAATGAGCAACAGAGGCAACATGATCTTTAAAGGTCAGTTGTTCATCAATCGCAACACCCAGATTTCGAACTGCCTTTGAAGGAGCCAGAGATAGGAAGTAATTTTGGAATGAGATATTGTGCTGTATGGATGGCTTTGCTGGGATGACAAGCAGTTCAGTTTTAGAGAGGTTGAGTTGGAGATGGTGGGATTTCATCCATTTTGATATGTAAGAGAGACAGACTGATATTCGTGCAGAGACAGCGTGGTCGCCCGGTGGAAATGACAGATAGAGACAGACAGATAGAGCTGGGTGTCGTCTGCATAGAAAGTGACGATCAGCATGCTCAAAAAGTACTATTAATTCAATTACTATGTGTGTTAGTGCCACCTGTTGGTGAAACTGAGTATTACAGTTTGGAGGTCACGTGCTTTTAGCAACTGTTCTATTAAAGACCCACTCCAATCATCTTTAAACTTTGATTTTGGCATTTTTAGCCTACATCACAAAAGCTGTGCCGTTTTTTAGTATAGCTTTTACACAGTGAAGGTAGTTCACTAAAAATTTGCCTCTGGGTTGTGGGAGGAGCCATTGCCGCGGCGGACAAGTCGACAATATTTTGACACTGATCTATTTTTTACCCAGAATGAAGGAACACATTTGCTGCTGATGATCTCAGTGGTCCTGATTGTTGGTAGAAGTCATCCACCTGCTCTGTCTGCCGTTCTGACCTCATCCTTCACTCCACCTGTCTGATTCTCGCCTCCACCTGCTGCTTCATCTCTCTTTGACCAGGTTGTGTGCGAGCGAGCGAGCTCGGTCCAACTTTCTAAACTACTTTAAAGAAATCTGTCAGTGTTGTGTTTTGCAGTTGGCCTGCCTGTATATGGCGACATTTTTGCGGCTTAAAGCGAGCTCGGGGTCCCGCAGGTGTGCCCTCTCCCCAGCATGAAGCACTGGCGTTACTGCCTGATAGATAACTGATCCCAGCAAACATCCGGACGTTTGATGACCTTTGAAACAGCATCGGTCCGAGACGTCCTGTCATGGTTGAAAAATAGTTCTTTTCTCTCTGTGAATTCCACGTCTTTCGGCGCCTCTGACTTGGACGTTTAATAATTAGAGTTTGGCCGTCTTATTACTATATTAAAGTTTTAATGTGTCACTTTAAAAAAATATACAGACTGCCATATCAGCCAATATCTCATCTGCTCCTTCCTAGATCCAAACCCAGGTCCTCTGTGTCTACATCAGGTGTCTTATTAGTTGAGCGATCCCTTTGACATTCCAACACAAATATACTTTTATATCAATGCGTGTTTTTTTTAATGTCCATGAAAACAGAAAAGGATTTTGGTTAAGTGTGAAAGCTAATTCTTCTAAATGTTCATTCTGTGTATTGATTCGTAATCATCTTCTTTTGTCTTATCCAAC